AGCCTTTTATTGCAATTATATTCAGATATTATTTTTACACAAATATCTTATGAAACAGACATCGGCGTCACTGGAGAAAATTCTAACTTATTTGGAAATATTTAATCGTAAACCAAACGAAAACATTAAAGCAATTTGTCAAATTACACACGATAATATTTGTTTGAGAATCGTACCTACTTTATTTTGATACCTACCGTCATCGAGTTTTCTTGCTTACACTATTTTACTATTGTTTTGTTATCACCATTGTGTTTTTATACGATTGATAAAAACCCGATTATTTTAAATTCGTATACGTAAACCATAATCGATTTAATACATAAATCAATCCATACCGTTGCTTAAACAATTTGGTGGCCTATAAAACTGTTATTTGTACAATTTAAACGATCGAATGGTCGGTTTGAATAATTTTGTGCATTATAAGTAGTAGAGTTTTTACGTTCATCAAAGATATCCGTACATGAATCACGAGTAGGTAACAATAAATGTTTCCAAGCATAATATTGTATTAGTTTATTTACGAACGGATTTAAAGTTACGATTAAAAGATCGGGAAAATCCGTCGAGTATAATATTATAATCGCGAGTAAGAGGATAATAATTTTCATTTGAAAAACAACAAACATCCCGTCCGTCAACGATGGATCAACTTGTATATCACATAGAGGAGATAAAAAATATAATAATAATGATAATTTTACTATTCAAAAAAGGATGGCGTTAATTAAAAACCAAGATGCAGAAAGTTCATTAGCATTTCGCGTTATCTTGTTTTTGTCAAAATATTAGCCGTAAATTAAATTCGTTGTATGTTGTTGTGTGCGAGACGTGTGATTTTCGAAATCGTTTGTATTCCGAACATGTTTCGTTTCAGTTGTTTCGGAATTGAAGCGCTTAAAATAATATAGCTGTTGCCAAAAACTTTTTATCCAGCCTTCTCGAGGAACGTTTTCCTTCTCGTTTCTCAATCTTAATTTATAAACTTTGATGATTTTACCAAGCCACCGGTTTTTGTCATAATTTTCGTCGCGTCCACCGTACGATTACGCACAACAACAGAATAATTTGACGTTACAGTTAACTTATAATTTTATTTATTTAAACGAAACGATGATGGTTAATAAAATTACATGCGAATAAAAACGTCAGCACGAGTGTAAAAAATAAAAACCTTTATACAGCGTGAATTCGATTGAATTACACGAACTTGATGCGTTTCTATTCGACGAAACCAACTCGAAAAAAAACATGTGAAATGCGATACATTATCGTTGTAATTTATAGATTATAATTTGTGAAAGTGCCATTATAACAGTTGGACAACAAATGTAAACTAAATGCGTTCAAATGGCATGTATAAAATTTATGACCACTCGGACGTGTTCTTGACCGGATCATAATACTGTAGTATTTACGAAATGAGTTATTATTAAAAACAAAATAAAATTATCGTATAAACCAGGTTTTAGAGATTATTTTATGTGTCTTTCCCGGGTTCTTCGAAGTGATTTTGCTAAACGTTTAAACACCATTTTTCACAGTCATGGCGGAAGTTTATAGAAATAGACAGAAAGTTCCGAAAATTACTGATCACATAATGTAAATCCAACGGTAAACGGCGATGATACAAGCACGTAGAATTGCTAATTTCTCGTTATTCGAGAAATCGTTTTTATCGAGTAGTATTAGTACGAAAATGCACCAACGATGAATAATATAATTACACTTCTTATTGCTATGTGTTGTCGCAATAAAAAAATTAAAATCAATTTTTGCACACATTATGATAGGTATGCATTATCCGCGAAAGGCGGATCACCTGTAAAATCCGAGTGAATTCTATCTGCAGAGCTTTACAAAACACAATTCGTGATTCTATCCAGTTATATTGTGTGTCGATAAAATGTACAACAACAATAATAAATTGGCTAACCACCGATAGTAGTGGCAACCGTAATTTATATACATTTATTTGCACGAGAAATACATAATTTACAATGCATTAAAACAACGTATAAATCAATACATTCGTTTTTATTGGAAACCGAAAAGCAAAACACTATTATTTATAGCACTGTATTTATATTTAACCGTCGAAATTTAAAACAAAATACAGACACAGTTGTAAGTTGCATTTTTTTTTTTTTTTTTTTTTTTTTAATTTTCGAAGTGGTATTTATTTAATGGAACACATAAAAAAAATAACAGAATTTGGCGATTTTAAGCTGTTTTTTGAAACATCCAACAAACACTTAATACTACGCCTTGTTTAATATTAACGTTGGTGTGTTAGATCTGTTAAAAAACATTTCAGGATCTTCATGAATATTAAGTGCCGAATCTCCTAACCCGTGGCTATATAATAAATTTGCTGAAAATAGTTATTTAAAAAAAAAAAAATATTTATTTATTCATTCTATAAAACAAATTTCCGCCAAGCAGTGGGATGTATAAGTCGTTTTCTGTACGGTTAGCGATTTTGTTTCATAAGATATATATGTATAAGCACATTCGACGATTTTAAACGAAAATTGAAAACTATATGATTCGCATCGCGTACAATATAATATAATACCCTCTACCGCCGTACTTTGTTAATCCACGCGAGATAAAAACGCACAGTTCTCTCTGATCGCGATTTTGACGTATTACGTGAAAATAATGGTTGCAGGGAACATAACAATAATTAACACTGTCGATAGCCTGACGATAATTAACACTGTCCGTGGAACCTAGAAATCAATCGATTCGATCCGACGATATTATTTATAGTACAAGCCATACAAAAAGTATTAAGATAAAATAGGACACAGACCATAGGTACTTAGTGGTGGTATATTGATCGTTTTAATTATTATTTTAAAGTATTTAAAGTCAAGCACGTTAACTAGCTCGACCTGTAAAATACTGTACGTCCAATAATATTCGTGTTCAAAACACAACTCCGCTGTAACTCACGGTGACATTTGTTTTTACAGTAAACAAGTTTAACACCTTAGACATTTCATTTTATATAATGAAAAATAAATACTTGCGTACTACTATTATTATATCGTTACGAAGTATGAAATATTAAAATATATTTTTATAACTTTTTTTTTTATTAAGTGCCAATTATCCTTATACCATCAACAGATACAACGAAAAAAATAAAATTGTCTATGTAATTTTAAAAACTATGCACGATAATCTAAAATAATATATAGTGAATATAAGAATATCTATAAGCTGTGTCGGATGTACTAAAAGGCTACAGATAAACTATTATAGCTGTTTAACATGTCAAAATGAAATATATAAAATACCAATAGAACTATGATCTGTTGTTTTATAGTTTTATACAGTTGTCGGAAATTTATGAATTTTTTACGTAGTCAAAGTAATGAACTAGACTTTTCAATATTTGATGATAGACAAAGACTGAAGTTAACACACCCATAACTATATTCAACTACATTAAAGTATTTTCAGCAATATTTATTCTAATTTACGGTAGTTTTAAATACTTTGGTAAAAGGTTATGAACATAAAAAAAAAAAAAATTCAATATTTTTATTGATTTCGATGATTAGGTAAACTGGTAAATGAAAAAAATTACTTTTATAAGATACTTTATTATTTGGAATCAATCAAAACAAATATTTTTGGGTTTTTTTACTTGCATCGATTTGTTAGATGCCTACGGATAAACTAACCGGATCGTATACATTTTTTTTAATTAAGTAAAACAACCCGTTGTACTCGCCTGGTTAACAAAACGTTCGGTACGACGAAAAATAAAAGAGATAAACAGAAATACCAAAAGAATCGAAAAGTCCGTTGGAAACAGTAGGCGGACGAAAGCCAAACGTAATTAATGAACCCCTTTAGGGAAACAACAAACCGAAGAGTGGACGACAAAGTTTACGTAGCGCGATCGAACGCGCCGGACCTAGTTCTTTTCGCGACACGCGGTCGGTTGTACCGACGGCGGTCGGCGTTATGAAGCGCTCGGAAAGTGTTAACTGCCGTCGTTCGACGAACGAAACGTTGAAAGAACAAGTAAGTACGTTTGCCGGGGGGAACGTTTCGCTGGAAATGCCATAAAAATAATAAAACTTGGCATCTTTGATTGCTTGCACACCTTGAAAAAAAAAAAAAAAACTGAAAGGGCACCCCTGCGGTTAGGTTAGGTTATAAATCGTCATCGGACGATGTATTTTTTTGTTGTTGTCCTTCGCGCGAATCTTCACCGACGTCGCGGTCGTGCACGCAACGAACCGTATGTCGGTCGACGTGCCGCGACGCGATCGTTGTCGGACCCGTTGCCGACGGGCACGATTGTGCGGTCGCCGAAGCGGGGCAGGTGGTTAAAACGCTTTAAACGGCGTAAACGGCTGCCGTTATATTGACGTTTTATTTGCCGTTCGGGGTGGTCGATACCGTTGACCGCGGCACGACCGTCGGGCAGTGTTGCGCATCGGCCCTGTTGCGCCCCCTTAAATCCGTCCGAACATTGCGCCGGTGGTGAACGTCGAGGATTACCGCAACGCGTCATAGCAATATTGTTCTCATGTACGAGAAAGAAGAAGAAGAAAAAAAAAACGAACGTGTAGGCGCATCATCTTATAAGTATTCGTACACAAGAACGATAATCATGTCGATTCAATTGTATGCGGACGAAAATAGAATTTCAAAACTCCAATTGCAAAAAAGATAAATGTTTTTTTTTTTTTAATCTGTTCCGAATGATCTAATTCTCCGATCTCGTTTGGATTATCGCGATCCTACTTGAGATATATTTTTTCTCGATCGAAATGATATGTTGTGCACAAGGGTTGAATTATTTTTGACCAACGGGATCACTTATCCTCGGCACGCGGTTCCACGGTTTTACAACTGTGTTCTGATGCACAGCGTAGGTGCGTCAAATCGATTCGGTAGATCATTTCTTCATTTTTCGTCCGTACGAACATACTTAATCTCATATATATTTTAACCGTATGTTTATACAGTTCACGATCTAACGATGCGTGACGACCAAGGTCGCAGTTGACATGGATGGCGAGAACAGGATCATACTGAACGTCGGCGGCATCCGTTACGAAACATACAAAGCTACGCTGAAGAAAATACCGGCTACGAGGCTAAGCAGACTCACCGAAGCCCTGGCCAATTACGATCCTGTGCTCAACGAGTATTTTTTCGACAGACATCCAGGCGTGTTCGCTCAAGTACTCAATTACTACAGGTAAACAAACACACACACACACACACACCTAAAGCGGAAATTTATAAACCATGAAACCCACAACATGATATAGTACAGAAAAATAATCGATTATTTTTATTTTTTTATAATCTCCGTAAAAATATAGCAGATATAACGTTATTCGATAATGAGTTTTATCTTTTTTTTCGAAACGATCATTTTTTATTATGTTAATGCGCGTTATGATCTTACAGGACGGGAAAACTCCATTATCCGACCAACGTTTGCGGGCCGCTTTTCGAGGACGAGCTAGAGTTTTGGGGATTGGACTCGAACCAGGTAGAACCGTGTTGCTGGTCGACTTACAGCATCCACAGAGATACGCAGGTGAGTCCGAATGACTTTAGCGCAGTGCAATAGGTTTTGTAGCCAGTGCACTCTGCGACCACACCGTTTTTGGCTGCGGACGCGTCGTACCATACGCTAACCCGTTTACTGCGCACTCGAAATCTATAACATGTGTACACGGTTTTAGTGGGTTTCCAGACGGCAATGGTCGATAAGACGTGGGTACAATGCGTATAATTTGAATAGCGTGTAATTGCGATCGCGATTACGCTCGAAGTGATTAGATTGTAATTATATTATAGGATACAAACGTACATATATATATATATATAAAACCGTTGTCCGTACTATCGCAGTGTTAAGCGAACAATTTCATATACCGTACAGTTAAAAATCTTAGTCAATCGTGTACGAAAGTTTTGTTGGGCTTGAAAACGGGCAGTGCTCAAGCGAAAAATAATTCCAGCGATACGTGACGGGGATGCGGGGATCGACAGATAGCGGGGTTTCTGTTTAACGCGGGTGATTAATTACACGAAACGGTCACGTACGAGCGAATATATTTTGGCGGGCGATATCGTACCGGCCTGTCGACCTTTTATGCAAGAGAAAATGAACCGCTTGCGGTGAGCGCACTACACGCCGCACTCCGTACGACTCGACGGCGGAGGAAGGTTTTTCGTTTTTTCGAGTACGTTAATGAATCTGGGTTATGTGTTATTAAATGAGTGTGTATTTTTTCCCCCCGTCCTCTCGCCCTAACGAACAGTTTCCGCTGTTTCAGGCCACTCTTGCTATTCTCGATAAACTGGACATCGACTCCGAGAAACCCAACGAGGAGGAGGTTGCCAGGATGTTCGGCTACGAAGAAGAATACTTGGCTGGCACGCTGACCCCTTGGCAGAGGACCAAGCCGAAATTATGGGCGCTCTTCAACGAACCGCATTCGTCGTTATCGGCAAAGGTTAGTGCTATCAAACGCATAAGTAATATATGCGCGTTATAAGATGTTGCGGGGATGCCCGTAATCGTTTTGCGTATTAAACATTTGCATAATATTATCCGGCCGGGGAACGCGTGAATTAATATTTCAATGGAGGGAAGGGATGGAAGCTTACAAATGCACGGACGTTGCAACAGTACTCGGGGATGGTATTGGTCTTACGCCCGTAATATTGTGCACTACACAGCGTTCGCTCGAAATGAGAAACGTTACAATATAACACGTATCTCGTACGATGATGATAATGTATGTATTCTATCGTGAGTGGATAACATTGGCGAACAAACAAATTTAACTCGTTCCACGGGAGTAGAAAATAAGGATTTTCGTTGAAAAAAAAAAAAAGTAATAGATGTGAATTGCGGATTTCTATACAAAATAACAAAACATACGCGTGTTGTACTTTTCATGGTGTCGACATTTCTCTGGGAAAGAAATATTTAAACAGCATATTATTCACGTTCACGAGAAAATATCTGTAAATATAAATCACTTTTTTTTTCCAATTCTTTTCACCACGACGTTCTAGTATATTTACTTCGTATTGGAATTCCACTAATATCGAACGTCTTATTTTGGACGCATGGACGCATTTGAAGTTCAAAAATCTTTCACCAACCTACCGTTACTTCCTACTCTCGTATTCATAAATTTAGAATTTCTGGGTGCCAATTGATTCCGAATTCATTGACAGAATGTCAAATCGCTTTTAAAGTTACGCTAGAGTTACCGTAAAAAGTTATGGAGTTCAGGAGAGACGAGGAAGGAGAAGTGTATTTTCATTTTTGTTCGCGGTCGTTTTGTGTTTCTTCTCCGACGACCGAACCAGAACGGAACCGACAACAATGTATACGAATATATAATTTATGTGTACATATATATACCAAAATCCATTTTCTCGGCTTACTTAAGCAAAAAAAAAAAATATGAATATATTTTTATCCAAGAGTATCGTTAATCGTCCTACATTGAACGTATATTATTTCAACAGTAAAGTGTACTTATATAATTTAATATCTACCCTAACTCAGTTCGTTTAGCAGTCATCAATAGCGAAATTCCGACGCGTAAAATAAAACTCTAGCATCTAAATCCGTAGTATCTACAAATATTAAACGTGCAAATAACCTGATTCAAACAGAAAAATAGTTCACGTTCTTTTTTTAGTAAATTTTTTTTTTTAACAAATAATTCATATAGCCGATTCAATTTTCCTCTTACTGTTTTATACTACATTAATAATATACTCTTGCCACTTTTGATCGTTGTAAAGTTAAAAAACTGCAGGACATTGTTTTAAAAATAATATGAAATTAGACGACTTAGCCGTTGAACACGGATGGATATTGCACTATGTGCTGCATATGCTCAAATTATAAATAAAATTATATTGCTATATCATTTTAATATTGTTGTATGTATCGATGTAATAATGTTCTGTATTATTGTAATATAAATAAAATCAGATCTACAAATCGATTTATCTATAAACCAGATCTCAAAAATATCTAACCAAAAACTCTACAGTACATTTAACTTCCACAAAAATCTCAACGTAAGCTATGTCACTTCATATCATATCTCAAACAAGTAACAAAGCTCCAAGATGATTAGCATTAAAACGATAAACCAAGCGGTCCAGAGACTTCTGAAGGATAAGATTACATTATCTTCAAAGGCCCTTGTAGGTAAATTCATTATCTCTCTAATTAGTTCTCTAAGAACATTATCAGTTTTTTTATTTTACTGTTGTAATTATCACATATTTGTAACTTGTTGTGTATATTTGTATATCTGTAATTTAACATATTCAAAATCAAAACAGTTAAGAAAATAATTGTTTTTAATGATTTCTTTATTAAAGAAAATCGCCCGAAATGTTTGGCTAAGTACGATTAAGATAAGCTCAAACATTCAAGTTTGGCATTGAATTCATATACTCCAGTTTATAGTAACACAGATAAAATCATCGTTCTTTCATGAGGTTCAAAAACACACAATTTCATGTTTACGAATTGAAATATATTGCCAAAACTATTCAGTTGTAATCCGTGATTTATGCTTGGAATGTTTACCTATCGAACACGCACTTCAGATTGCTTAAATATTTTTACGTTACACCTCCCTCCGCCGCCGCAGATATATGCTTATTTTCGATATATCAAAATCAATTAATTGTACACAACAAATAGTTTAGTAAATTATATCAATTATAATCAAATAATTAATATGATAAAAATGAATAAAATATAATACTTATTATCATATTTTATCAAATCGTTAACTATAATCGAAGCCGTTTGTAAATATTTGTTTTAAAAAGCACGTGGTTAAAAATAGTTGGAAGAAATATTTTTTTCAACTCTAAGACTGGTGTGAAATCACATTCTTGTATAAAAATACTTTCTAATTTACTTATTTAATTTGTTTAAGTAATTTAAGTTTGAATTATTTCAAATTAATACTTATATTTGTGCATTTGCTATATGCCATGCCTTGTTTTTCCCATAAAATTATAAACTTTTTGTAAACATTTTCAACTCATTTACACATTGGATTTGTGCATGAGATTAAATGAATTATGCATTTCTATTTTAATAACCCTTACAAAAAAGAAAAATAATGAATGACAAAGACTAAAAGTATTTAAAAAAAAAAGTCCTCATTATTATATATTAATTTTTATAAATATACATGATGTACACCTTAGAATAACATATTTTCATTGACATATATTGAATTAACTGCAGTATAATATAGAAATATTAAACTGCATATAGTAAGAATTATACTCTCAATTTAATGTATATATAGTTCACTTTAGTGTTTTTAATCAATACTTGAAATTAATACTATATACTCGTATACACATCAAATGTAATCACGATTTCAGATACCATTAAATATCTTGGCTGGGTGATCTTGTATTGAAATGATAATTTTAAATGCTGTAGAGTGTACTGATATACACATTTTTTTATTATTTTCGAATTTTTAATTTTTATAATACATGCATGCGCAATATAAATTACTGTTTTTTTTGTTGGCAACCTTAATTTATTTATACATATCCAGATTATATATTTATATTTGTGTAGAAAAAGTTTTTTTTTTTATTCTAAAATTTACCAATGGAAGAAAGTCGAAATTTTAATTTATGCTTAGTTGGTTTTTTACGAAAATTTTACATAAAGCACTACATTTTTAAGTGTATTCAATAATTTAAATTTTCACACATAAAATGTTTGTAACTAAATTAATATAAATATATTATATTATATCAAACTAATAATTTATAACAAATTAAGAAAACCTATATCTCGCGAAGTTGGGATTTTATATTGTTTTGTTCAAAAGTTTTTTAATAAAAAAAAAAAACACAAAATGCACCAATATTAAATACATTTTTTACAACATTTGCGTGCAGGAGATTCTATTCGTATGTTGGATATTATAGTTTAATTCGTTCAAATGTACCCTTAATTGTTAATTACATTCTTTGGACTGATGAATTAAAATTTAACAACAACAAACAAAATCATCTATACTAGAATGAAACGAACACAATGTCAAACGTCAAACGTATTTTCAAACAGTTTGAGGAATAAATATATAGTATAATCTGATACTGCGGTAAGCTTATAGGACTATAATTTTATGACGGAACGCTTAATAGTAGAAAATATTTAATTTTTCTCACCAGCGAATTACCAATATCTGTATCAGCATATGTTTTTTCAGCAAGTTGGCGCACCTAATGCAATAGTTTTAAGAAAATATGTAGATCAAATGTTACCAAATCGCTAGACCGGTGTTTATGGCATTGTTCCTTGGCCGGCACTGTTTCCAGATTTAACGCCATTCAATTTTTGTTTTTATCGATTCATTTAAAAACTCTGGTTAACCAGTCAGATACCAGTATTTAAAAGCAAAATACCGGCCGTATGTAACGTTTTTAGAGAAAAATAAATCAAAGCGGCAACATATACTAAATATCGAAATGGCTTAAATCATGTTCAAAATGTAACGGGGAAAACTTTAAACAGTTATTTTGATAAATTTACTGAATAAATTGTTTACTGTAGGTATTATAAATTACTACTAATACTACTATAACTGATACTTTCAATTATTATTATTATTAAAATCGGTCTGTTATTATTTTAATTACAAAAATATCATATAATAAAATTAAAATCAAATTATTTGACACTATTTTTAATAATTTAGTACTTAAGGTAAAAATGTATTAAAAAAATAACTATGCATAATTTTAAATTTCGATTAAATACAATTTGTTTAATTTTAAAAATAGAAAAAAACTTTTTGTACAAAAATTGTTTAAAAAAAAATATCAATCCAAATACGTATAAAAAAAATGGGTTACTATTAAAAGAAAAAGTAAGTTATATTGCGCATGCGTGTACCGTAAGGGTTAAAAATTCGAGAGTTATATAAACATTCCTAAACTCTCTGAAATATTAATTTTAGAAAATGGTCACACAGCTGAGATTTTTTTATGGTACCTTCCTAAAATCGTTATCACTCTGTATACATATACTATTATAAAACATTATTCAAAATAAAACTTTACATTAAACGTCATAAATGTCTCGGACAGCAGTTTATTTCATTTCTATTAAATTAATTAAATAAATCCAATAAATTACAGTGGCAACTGCGTCCGATAAACTTTAAAACAATAGGCACATAATTCATTTAATTTAAACTTATTGCCGGGGCCCGAGTTTTAATGCAACGACAATTTATATGAACGACAATCGATTGTATTATTTTTTTCGGATGAATAATCATTTCGTTCGATTTCACCGAATTCGTAAACAGCGTGTATGGATAGTGAAAGCTCGTAGGTATTTTTCAGTCATTGAATTCAAGACCAAAACTTGAGTTTTTTATTTGTGTAAAACCGAACGAAAACAACTTACTTCCCGGGCAAACAA